CTAGGCATCAATATGAAATGAACAACTTTTACTACGATCGATAGTAAAAGTTGTTCATACCTAAGGATGCCTACAATCACCAGTTTGGGGTACGTCCATAAAACTATAACCTTTCGTAGCTCTTTTATACTATAACAACACTTTTGAATGACGGAAGTATGGAACTGATTTTTGAAGTTCCACGAAAGAGATACGAGAGATGACAGCATGAACGCACTCTAGAATAAATGCCCGCGAGCCGATGACACACTGTTTGTTTGTAAGTATAATTTTGCGAGACAGGGAGTATGATTTGCAATCAATGAAAATGAACGTTTATAACCACGAAAGTTATAAACCTATGATACAATACATACATACCTGAGGACGAATCGATCAGTTACCAACATTAATATAGCTTCATCATAGGTGTAATTCACTCAAAGGCCCCGATCTGAAGCATTAGGTACCTACTTAGGTACCGTCGTGCTTTGTACTCCGTTTACGAGGGTCCCGTCTGAATGACGTACAGTCGCGGTCAAAATTACCTGTCTCCTAAACCCACAGTCACTGATTTTCAATTTATTTTTAACTAGCTGGTGCCCGCGAACTTCGTTTCGCCAAGGGAAGTTTATGAGCCGACAGAAGCGGCACATCATGCAAAACAACTTTTTCAATACAGAAATTTTCTTATCTCTTTAAAGTTTTGCCGAGCTCAGACAGACAGGCCCTCCAGTGCTGATAAAGGTGCTCACTAATCATAAAATATGATCAAGACGGTTATCTTCCACCATACCACACATTAAAAAATATCGCAAACTTTTTGCGTGATCCGTGCACATTTAGGTTTAGCACTCAGATTTCTTCATCTTCCTTCTTATTTTGGGTGGTGTTTGCTCTTCTAATTTTTCGGCGCCATAAGGTTGTTTCTGGGGTTGTCGGATCAAGTAGGTCTTTTTTATTCGTGAGGTCGGTCATACACACTAACAGATAACATTTTCAAATGTAAGAAGTGTGATATTGATATTGATTGTTAGCTGGTCCCCGCGAACTTCTTGTCGCTTCGTTCCTTATACCTACATTAAAAATACAAATTTCCACACCGGCGTCTTAAAAATTGTATCCATCACGCTAATTATGTATTAATTGTTGGACTTATATTTCTAAAACCGTAGATGCATTGCCAGCAGATGCCAGCAAAAGCGTTCCGTCAAGCTGAACAACTTTTGCTTTGGAGCTATTTCAATATCTCTTATAGTTTAGCTGAACTTCTAGTGGTGATCCTGATGGTCTACATCAGCTACTCCAATCTTTCGATGTGTCTTCGCCAACAAAAGCGTCCCATCAAGCTAAACAACTTTTGCTTTGGAGTCATATCTGTATCTCCTATAGTTTACCTGTACTCCTGTTGGTGCACCTGGTGGTTTACATCAGGTACCTACTCCAAACTTTCGATGTCTTTTCGCCAGCAGAAGCGTCCTATCAAGCTGAACAACTTTTGCTTCGAAGTCATATCTGTATCTCCTATAGTTTACTTGGGATCCTGTTGGTGAACCTGTTGGTCTACATCAGGTACTCCAACTTTCAATGTCTATTTGCCAACAATAGCGTATCATCAAGCTTAACAACTTTTGCTTTGGAGTCTTATCTGTATCTCCTATAGTTTACCTGGGCTCCTGTTGGTGCAACTGGTGGCCTACATCAGGTACTCCAAACCTTCGATGTCTATTCGCCAGCATAAGCGTCCCATGAAGTTGAACGATTTTAGTCTTGAAGTCATATTCCGTATCTCCTATATAGTTTACCTGGGCGCTGTTGTGGTGGTCTACATAAGGTACTCCAAATCTTTGATGTGTATTCGCCAGCAAAAGCGTCCCATCACGCTGAACAACTATTGCTTTGGAGTCATATCTGTATCTCCTAATATTACCTGGGCTCCTGTTGGTGCGCCTGGTGGTCTACATCAGGTACTCCAAACCTTCGATGTCTATTTGCCAGCAGAAGCGTCCTATCAAGCCGAACAACTTTTGCTTTGGAGTCATATCTCTATCTCTTATAGTTTACCTGGGCTCCTGTTGGTGCACCTGGTGGTCTACATCAGGTACTCCAAACCTTGGATGTCTATTCCTCAGCAGAAGCGACCTATCAAGCCGAACAACTTTTGCTTTGGAATCATATATCTATATCCTATAGTTTAGCCTGGCTCCTAATGGTGCTTCTGGTGGTTTACATCTGGTACTCCAGACCCTAGAGTGGTAAAATGTATCCTAGATGTTGACCCGACTAATAAGGTATTACGACACATAATTTGGTTAAAATCCGTCCAGTAGTTTATCCGTGAAAGATGGACAAACAAACAGACAGACAAACAGATAGACAAACAGACAGACAAACAGACAAAATTTTTTTTATCTATTGTTCTGAGATCTGTATCCTGAGCACAATTGAAAGCAAAAATCCTTTTTTTAAACTATCCCATGTACAGAATTGGCTTCGTTTCTGTTTTATTATATGTATATAGATAATTTGGGATATGTCAACCTGTGCAAAAAGCCTATTAATTCGTCATAATCAAACAGTCCGCTATTCTTCGTGGAATTGTGTCGTCGTCATCTCGACGAACAAATCTGTGTTTATTTTTTACCATTCTTATTACCCTTTGTAAGTTTTATGTTGCGCATAAATCTACCCTTATTGTTATATTCACCAGTTCAAAACTTTGAAAAAACTGATTGACCAGTTACACAATTATCAATATACTTACTCGTAGCATAGTTAACATTACTTAGTATTTACCCTAATATGAGCATGCTTTCTGTGATGTTAATGCAAGTAGACTGCATATTCTGCCGGCGACTGTACTGTAGCTAAACGTGCATAGGTGCAATCCTCATTAATGCATCCCTTTGTCTACTCCACCACCAAGATTGATTAGACGAGCTCATTCCGGGCTGATTAATTCCAGCGAAAAATTCCCTAAGAGAACAAAGGAGCGTTTTCAAAAGATATTCGTGTCTGCCGCAATTGCCTCGGGCAGGCAAGTGTTAAAACGATGAAAAGCAGCCACAACGAGTAGTTGCATAGTCAGGTCCTATTTGTCGCAGATCCGTTTCGGCACACTTTAAAATAGTGTCCCGATTCACCACAGATTTAATTTTAATCACACGAATTATTTACGGTTAAGATATTCAAGAAACGGAGAAAGGTACTATGGCAAATACTTATAACACTTAAAGTGTAGTCAAATACTTACACTTTGAATTCAACTCAAATGTAAGAGACATAGTCTGCGAACCGGTACTGAGAAACTACGATTACCAGCATACACTGGGACTGATTTTCGCCAGATAAGACTTACATACCAAAACCTGTCTTTTGTAAACGGGTAGACACTGATAGACATGTTATTTTTATGGATGGTTACTCTATAAATTGAATCTTGATCAATCGCACTTGTATTTATGTTTATTTTATGAAACTATGACAACATGGATCTTGTGTATTTTGTTTTTATCTGGCAAAATAAATGGCTTTATTGGTTTTTAAATCTGTGACAAACCAGGAAAAAAAAACATTTTTATGGACAAACTGGGTCTCATTATATTGTTACAGTTATTGATGACGAACTTGGACTGTGGCAAACCGGAATTGAGTCGTTGCATGTTAAAAGCACACTTTAGCGCGCATTAGTATGGGCAGGGGGGGTTAGGCGGGTTAGTGCGCTAATTTGGGCAACATTACCCCGGATTTGTCTCTCTCTCTTCGTGTGGGACACCGAGTCGTTCAACGACCCGATGAACCGGATTTGTGACGACCTGGGACTATGACCAGCCGGGACTGAGTCGTTGCATGTTAAAAGCACACTTTAGCGCGCATTAGTATGGACAGGGGGGGTTAGGCGGGTTAGTGCGCTAATTTGGGCAACATTACCCCGGATTGGTGACGAACCGGGACTGTGACAAAATGGAATTGACTCGTTGCATGTTAAAAGCACACTTTAGTGCGCATTAGTATGGGCAGGGGGGGTTAGGCGGGTTAGTGCGCTAATTCGGGCAACATTACCCCGGCTGACCCGGCGTTCAAATTAAATTGATATTAATAAATTTTGAAATAAGTGTTATGAGCGCAGATTAGCCTTTAACAACGTTTTGCATAAATGAAATCTAAGCCGAATGTAATAGTTAATTTCAGTGCTAAAATTTGTAACTACTATACGAATATTGTTTTAACTTTTTGTTGTTATAATATAAGTATACTTTTAACAAAATATACTTATATTATAACACGCCTATAACCCTTGCCATTTACCATATAAGCCATTACAAATGTAAACGGCCGTTTTGATAGCCGTTTACGCTCTGACAAAATTTTGCGAGGCGTTCAGAAACTGCGTGTCACTATAGTGGCGGGTTATCAACCTGTCGCCTAATATTACAAAACTCATGATCTCTTAAATCCCATAGTCGCTTCTTCCGACCACCACGGGAATGATATGGGGTGATGCTATTCTAAGCTGGCATCACACAGCAACAAAAGTCATGAAATAATACATTGTTTCTATGGCATCAAACAAAACCTTTTCCAGCCACTGTTTTAGAGTCTAGTAGAGATAATATCTTATTATACACCTAATTTTAGTAGACATATATCTTACTAAGTACCTATTTATAATCGTTTTAGTCATCATATATGATGATGATGATTAGTATGGCCCTATTTCTGAAAATGTAAATGTGCCATTATTTTCTTGACAACATCAATCGCAGTCGGCTGTGCGTGTAAAGTTACTTACATAAATCAGTATTTAAGGGTCATTAGTTGCGTCTTTGTTCCAAACCTCTTCTAGACAACAGGCGACGTTGCCAAGTATACTGTACAACACTTAGACTAAATAAAATAAAAGAGCAGAGATAACTTTTAAAATACTAAATTATATAGGAGATTGAAAAAATATCATGCATCGATCAAAATCGTAAATACTTTCTACTAGAGATGAGCATCAAGAGATTGAAATTTGGAAAGCATCGATAACCCAGTGGCAGAGTGATGGGGGGTTGACCCATGGGGCCCGGGTTCGAGCCCCGGTCTTCAATCTATTTTTTTCATTTATGTGAATAATATAGCACTGTCAGTGCATTATATCCCAATGGATTTAAGATACTAGATAGAGCCACAACCACAAGAAATACCACAAAACTCAGGTTATTTCTACATACTCTTTTAGGAAAATCCGACACAACCGAGGGAACAAAATTGTTTATTTTCTGACACACGCTGAAATAGCTAACTCTTGAATTTGATACTGTGGGCACCACACTCTGAAATAGCTAACTCTTGATACTGTAGGCACTACATAAGAAAATATAGTAGATAAAGTTTAGATTTTTGGCTCCAAGGAAAATATATGATTCAACTAACGTTATGAGCTTCATATTATCGCCTCAATTCACTTCTTCCATCTTTACTTTTTCATCTAATCTAATTCTCATTGTACATTATTTTAAAACACTGATCTGTATGAAAGGCCATTTTTCAAGCTACAACAATCATCAATTTTATCTGCTTGTTCTACATAAAATGTTCTTGATATTTATTTGGGAAATGCTGAATATTTTGATTATTTAATCTATAAGCCAATGGTCAACCGCTTGGCTTTCTTTTTAATGAAGGAGATTTAGTTTCTAAAAGCTTCCTCTGCTTATTGCCGTGTAGTGCTTTATCTTTCCCGTGGGTGTCGTAAGAAGTGAATAAAAGATTTGAGTGACAACCTGTCATTGTGGTGATACACAGTCTTCTGAATGACACATACATTTTTGTCAGACATGGTGTAAATGCACAGAATATATAATAGTACTAGGGTAGTAAATGGCCGTTTTTACAGTCGTTTACGCTCTACATATCCTGCAAGTGAGAAAGGCGTGATACCTTAACCTTAACAGCCACAACAGTCCACTGCTGGACATGGGCCTCCCCCGTATTGGGGGGTATTGCCATACTCACCACGCTTGGCAGGCGGATTAGCGAGCGCAGTGCAAGATGTTTAGTTCACAGGGAACGCTGCTGCCCATTCCCTGGATAATTATCCCTTAGTCGCTTTTTACGACACCCACGGGTAGAATTGGGGTGATGCTATTCTAGGCCGGCATCACACGGCGGCAGAAAGGCGTGATACTTGTATGTAAGTAAGCTTAATCTGAGATGTGCATTTCAAAAATATCTTAAGGCTTGTTGGAAATGTTTAACCCCCGGTCCATTATCCGACGAAGAGTGATATTTTTCAACCATTAATGGACTCTACTCCACCGTCTCCAATCTGAAATTCTAAACCTTGTTTTAACGATAAATGGAAAGAATATTCTTATTAAGTCGAGCGCTTTAGTATAAGTTTTGTAGATACCTACTTACAATACTTACAAAATATTTATATGTGAAGTAACACAAGTGTTTGTGGGGAAAATCTGTGATGTCGTATTCACAATAGGTATTTGACATAATTATGATGAGACGAAACTTTTTCGGGCCCTTTGTATCTGCGGGGAACCATAGGATCTTCTTTTTCTTCTTCTTCTTCATCATACCATAGGATCAAAAACAAGAAGAAGAGTAGGACTGAAATCTGCGCAGACCCGTATTTTACTTCTGTCAAATACCTATCTACGTTTAATTATATTTTTTTTATCATTGACTTCGGACTCGGCTATGTGATTTATATTTTTTCTGGCCTGTTGTATGTATCCCAGATCAATTTAAATTCCGAAGTCTATTTAAATTTTTGTATGTCGACAAAGACAAAAGCGGTGACACGAGCAAATTTATTCCAAGTTATTCATATTATTGCTACCGTTTTCCCTCTAAACAATAATTTTGGTTCATTTCCAAGAAAAATAATGCGTACAATACCATTCCCGGGAGATAAGGAGCGGTTCGGTCTAATGAATTTAAATATTATTCAATTAAATGCATATGAATTATTCAGAACAGGAACGATGGAAAGAATTCTGAAGGAACTTAAGGATTTTTCGTACCTTAATTAATTATACTTTCGCTGATATTGAAATGATAAGTTCTAGCGAACGTAGGTTTTAGATAAACGGCTCTTTATCCAAAATTTATAGCTTTTTCGCAGTGTAGATAGACGTTGACCGAAATGTATGAATATTACATTTCTTTTTTTGCTCTGGCTGTCATACTTTATACCTAGGTATTTTTATCTGCTTAAAATTCAAACGCGTATATTGAAATGTTAAAGTATGATACCTACCTATCAAAGCTTTTTACGCTAGTTGTCATATCCACAAAGGTTAAATAAAATAAAATTAATTGTCATATATCCCATACAACCTATTCAGGTGCACTTAGGTGAGATAGGTACTCACGTAAATTAAGTTATAATATTTTTAATTGAATTTTCATACGAGTCTTATTTTGAATTCGAATATAATATATACATTTTCCTGTGGTAAATCATTTGCATCGTATTTTATAACACATTAAAACAATAAGGTATTCGGATAAACAAAATCCATAAAATATATTCTTATACAAAGGAATGTGGACCGGCTAGTGATATTTGGGGTGCGTTTGTTCCTTCATTCCGTCCTCAACACAATTAATTTCACAACATAGTACCTAAACTATATATGTATAATATCTGGAGGATACATGTCATGTATCTATTAAGCTTGTGAAGTTGATCTCTACAAACAAAGGTCTTTGTAGCTTGTATGTTAGTATCCGGTTATTTTGGGAAGATAAATATAGCTTTCTATGTCAAGATGATTGTTAAAGTTAAATATATTAAAATCTGCCTCTCATTATCCTTAACCAGTTTGGATCGGCGCAACATGTTTAGTTAGAGCACAAAATTATTTAGCAAAAGTGTTTGGTTATGTTTTACGACCAGCCTCTTAAGTTGACGTCAGGCAGGCGGAAATGCTATTTTAGGTGGTATCACCGCCACCATGCGGTTAACCATGCCCGTCAGATATTCAGCCGAGGTCAAAACTCTTCATCGCATTTTAAGAAACATTCTGAGTTGACTAGGTGTGGCAGTATTCTTAGCCGCTCCCATAGCGCAAACTCAAATTTTTCATAGAGACCTTTAAACACAACTGCCGTATCCTGAAATATAAGTATGTAGGTGTAGGCATGTATCTCGATTATAAAAGAACACATTTCGGGCGATCGAATTTCACCTTTTCTGTCGTTTCATATAATTTGAATAAATTTGGAGTCCCAGCCAGCCGAATCACCGAATAAATTCAGCCTCTTATAATCAATTCTATTGATGTTACGATTTGCCGCAATTTTGGATCGAGTACCTTATTCAAGTACAGCTGGCTACCTGCTAAAATAAGTATTAATATTTTTATACATATTTATTTTTATATATTCAACATTTTCCACGAACTATTTGTATCACCAAAAGGTAGCCTGGTAGAAATTACTACCGCGTCAATAAGGTCGCCTAATTGTGCCGATCATTTTTCTTTATCATTATTATGTACAAATAAAGCATATTAATTAAGTACTGTAGGAAATAATATAAGTTATTGAATACAATGGCATAACCTCACAAATCTAATTGCAATATACCTAATTCATAACGCGCAATAACAGTAAAAGGGCATAACATTTTAGGTAGAGGTAATAAATTTAAGATAGAGCTACATTAACATTTAGGGTTGGAATCGATTTGTATCGGTATCATTAAGGTTCGACATTTTCAGTTTACCTATACGAAAAATAACATCCCCATTTTGCTAAAACTCTTTTTGCAATATTTCATCTTTTTTATTCTTTCTTGACATCAATTCAGAAGCACATCCCTTTTATTACGGGTATTTTTCATATTGACTGTACCCGTCAGACCCTTTCTATATGCGTCACTATGTAATATTCTGTGACTAATGCGACCTTCGGTGACCTTCTGCGATATTTCCATGAAGATAGTTTTATTTGTGTCTACGATATTGAGAATAAGTAGAGTTTGTGGGCGGCTGACTAAAGGTCAAAACACACCGTCTCCGTATGCGTGAAGTGCACGTCATCACGAGCGTATAACTGGCGCAGATGATGGACATATCCCGAATTGGCAAAATTATTGTTGGCATACTTCTCAAATGTCATATAATATGATAGAGAGGCAAAAACTAATGTTGCCATTCGGCATAGGTATGTTCTTTGTCTGCGCCAGTTATAACTATGACGTTGTAATGCATGGGCTCATATGAAACACGGCACACTGCGGTACGCGCGTGATGACGTGCTCGTATACGCAGGCAGTGTGTGTGGTGCCTCTCATACAATCTAATACATTACAACCGGTACGCGCATGAGGCGGTGTGTTCTGCTCTTTAAACCCTATTCAAAGCGTAACAGGCGCGATACGTGGGTACGCGGTATTCTGAGAAGCACAAATTGCCAAGCTATAGCTCCACTACCCACGTACCTATCCGGATACCACAGTAGTCTGAATCGGGCTTAAAACCATTTTATGTGGTTCATATGCATGCCGCGTAGGGTAGTTTGAAGAGAACAATGGTGGCAAAACCACGATGGATCTCGCAAAAACGTGTGCAAATTGTTCAGGTCTATACTAGAGATCACCACATTCGCTGTCATATGACGCTCTCTGTCTCAGTTGAGTTTACCACTCAAGTGGAAAAGGGAGCTCTATACGGCCGCTATTGCAACGAGTGGTCTTCTCGAGTATAAACCATTCGCGCCTAGGCGGTACGGTTGTCTATTTTTCGTGTTGTACTGTGAGCTGCACATCAACCTATAATTTTAAGGGATGAACTAATACCGGCTCTTCAAAGACTTGCTAAAAATAACCAGTGTAAGTTGGTTCCTTAAATAGGTAAGTTGCTACTCATAGTACAGGCATTATGATAGATGTACCTACCGCGCCTTCGCGGTTTAATGACTCAGTAGGTACATTGCGATAAAGTTTGCGAAACTGCCAGAAGCTCAAATCGTGTCGAGGAAGCAACGCTGCATTGTTAAGCAACACCTCCGTTCTTATTAGAAGTTCAGAGATAGGCCGTTGAAGCAAACATTTTGAATATCGAACACCAATTTTAAAGCTT